TATATATATATATATATATATATATATATATATATATGTGTGTGTATATATGTATGTATATACGTATGTATATGAAAAAATATGCAGGTATTAATTCCGATAAGATAAAGAATAAAAAAAAATGTGTGCTAATCAGAAAATTATAAATTTAACACATTCATATGCATATATATTTGTATATATATGTAGTTTTAGTTTTAGTAAATACAGATTCATATGCATATGTATGTATGCCCTATATACATATGTACATACATGAGTGCATGCTTATGCATACACATGTATTTCTGACTTATTAATAATTTCTACTGTAACTATATAAATACATACAAATGTACATATGCTTGTTGTGTTAGGCGTTGTTACTTACATTTCGTCTGTTCGCAGCGACCGCGTAGACTTCAATTCATAGAACTCGACATTTTCCATATTAGGCAAAAACTCCATAGTTGAGTCGTTATCATTAAGTAAATTGAGATTTAAGTCGTATTCCAAATCAAAGCCCAAGTCAATCCCCGATTCCGCCATGTCTGGATACAAAACGATAGCAGTTTTAGATCTGATCTGTTCTATAAACTGTTGATCAGTTAATTAAAATTAGTTATCATAAGTCTGATTGGATACGTTTTCCATTTTCGAAAAATTTACACGCGTCTTAGAAACATCAGGCAGACTCAAGAGAGTAACCAGTAATCGATCGACATACATGTACATATATACATATGTATGTACATATAACTCTCAATTTATAGCCTGCTATCTATTGTGCGCGTGAGAGAGAAAGAGAAGTTGCCTGATTTTTTTTTTAGGCACTTTAAACATGCAGGGTTGAATTTCAAATGGTCGAGTTTAAGCAATGACCATGGTTTGGGCTACCATTGAATAATAAAGATTATTCGTTTTTACAACTCAGATCTAAAGATATTAAGTTCCATATTAACGTGTAAAATATTAAAACTATGCATCTAAAAATGTCGATTACTTTGCGGCTTCTAGATTGCAAATCATCGATATTCCTTGACAAATGTTTGAGTGTAACACCACTGATCAGAGACACTGGTTAGTGCCAGAGAACACATGTTCTATGGTTAGTAATTGTAATAAATGATCACAAGGCGATGTAAAAACCGATAACAATTATTTAAAATATTGTTAGCCTGCCAATTTATTTTAGAGTTTTATCGAAAAGAAATGTATTATCGGGCAAAATTAATACGATCCCTTTATGCGAAGAAATTTTAGAAATATTATTATTTAGTTTAATTTTAAGTTTATTCATACACTCAACTCTCGTTATTATTCAAACCTTCGATATTTTGAACCTCTCATTCATTCAAAGTAATCACGAATCGCCTACAAAATCTCTTTATATTTCGAACTATGTGCATAAACTAAAAAATCATTACTAAGATGCGGTAATTTGTACTTACATATATGTTTAAACGATCGACAAATCAAATGATAAGTATTTTGGTGTGTTAGTGTAAGAACTTTGAATTTGAATTTGGGTCTCCTAAAACTTCCTTTACTGTGTCTGGTTGCGTGTTACACATTAAAGATAGCGTATGATGAACAGATGAAATTAATTGAAAAAGTATAAGATAAAAAGAAAGAAAATGGTGCAAATGATTTTTAAGATTTCACTCAGTACTCTCTAAACCATAATAAACTGATAAAACTGTTTTTCTCCTTCAAAAAATTATTGAAAAGTTTAAGCAGCAGAATGAATTTATCTCGTATAACAGAGTTCTTTTCAAAGATTTATTGATTTGAACAGATGTACATTATGAGTGTATAATATTATTAGTTAAATAAAAACACTGATAATTCGAAGTTTTTTATGTTCTCTCAATATTTCGTAGAACAACAATGTAATATGTCAAACATTCAATAATTCGTAGTACATTGAGAGTGCCTTGAATTTCGAAATAAGGAGAGTTGACTGAATTATTAATTAATACCATTCCTAAATATATAAAATTTGAGTTAAAAAAAAAAAAGAATTTAAAATATCGATAAGTTAATGATATAGTTTGAAATCTGCTTTTAGCTATCGTGGGAATTCTCTCGATTGTATGTGTATCAAAACACAACCGTGGCTGCCGATAAAAATCTACGATAGAACAAACTGAACAATATAAAGATTCTTTTGCTTCAAGTGCAATTTACAATAAATATTAATGCAATTGTGAGTTTCCAAGACGGAAAGGAGTGTAATTCCAGCTTGATTTGTTCTTGTACGTGTTGCATACAGCCAAACATTTATATATGTGCATGAAGCATATAAACCATACAGACATACGCACATATATGTATGCTTCAACACACGCTCATATATACATATGTGTACATGTTGCAGCGACAAAACATATATGTTCATATATATATGACGTACAAACGTACATAGACATATGTCTATGTACACATCTATTTGTTTGTAGGCCCTTATATTTTTTTCTGCTACAAAATTAAACATTACTATTTATGTTCAATGAAATTTGTGGGTAAAATTAAACATAGGGTAAAAGTTCAAAATAATATTACATCTATAGTCCATTCGTTCCCAAACACAGACTTTAGTTATATATATATGTTTATGTTCGCAAATTGCATTTTAGTTATACATACATATGTACACATGAATGTTTACTAGCGAATTCATGTATATACCCATAGTTGTTAATTGGTATTACTACTGACTTAATAATATTTATATTTTAGGGAAATACAGCGAAAATAACGCCAGTGGGAAAAATGGACAAAAAAATCTCATCCACATCGCAACCGCGTATTTTGAAGAAGAAGCATTTTAGGGTAAAACACCAAAAAGTAAAGCTTTTTCGTGCTAATGAGCCCATTCTTAGCGTTTTTATGTGGGGCATTAACCATACAGTAAGTTTCGTCACAATATTATTTATCCACACATGATTATATATATATATATATAACGGTTATTCATAATATCCGACAAATTCTAGATAAACGAGTTAAGTCATGTCAACATACCAGTAATGTTGCTGCCAGATGATTTTCGAGCATACTCGAAAATAAAAGTTGACAATCATTTGTTCAACAAGTAAGAAGAGAGACCCTCCATTAGCAACCGGGAAAATTATAATTTTCTCTATTATTTATTTAGAGAGAATATGCCGTCACATTTTAAGGTGAAGGAGTATTGTCCCCTTGTATTTCGCAATTTACGTGAGCGATTTGGAGTTGACGACGTTGATTATCGCGAATCTTTGACTAGGTCGCAGCCATTGGGCATCGACTCATCGGGCAAGTCAGGTGCACAATTTTATGAGAGCTACGATAAATTCTTTATAATTAAGAGTCTTACATCTGAGGAAATTGAACGCATGCATGCCTTTCTCAAACATTATCATCCAGTGAGTCGAACTCTTATCAAACCTAATTCAGATACATTTAATTAATATTTTCCGCGAAACATATTCTCAGTATGTTGTTGAGAGACATGGAAAAACACTATTGCCACAATATTTGGGCATGTACCGGATTACTGTGGAGAGCGTCCAGTATTATTTCGTTGTAATGAGGAATGTTTTCAGCTCTCAGTTGACCATACATAAGTATGAACGTAATATTTCCTTGTGTATCTACATTTTAAAAATAATTATTAATTCTTATTACATTTCCCTAGAAAATTTGATTTGAAAGGTAGTACTGTAGATCGCGAGGCTTCAGAAAAAGAGCTTGAAAAGCATTTACCTACATATAAGGACAACGACTTCATAAAGCAAAAAGTCAAATTGGAGATTGGAGAGGAACCTAAGAAAAAATTGTTGGATACTCTAAACAATGATATTGATGTAAGAAATGAAATGTATTTATATTTATTTAAAGTAGAAAATGATTAAGGCGGAAAAAATTACCAAGCAGAATGTGAATTGATCTGATCTAAATTCTTGCCAGCTTTCTGGGATCTTATGAACCATTATAAGATGAAACCTATTTTCTAGATTACACAAACTTCTCACATGATGTCCTCTTAGATCTCTGGTCTGCCTGCATAAAGCACAAATTAACTTGACCAATTTTAGCTTAAAATATATCAACTAAACTTTACATATACATTATGCATTACATATATTTATACATTAAGTATATTTAAATATTCTAAATATTCTCTTTACACATAAAACGTATTTTAAAATTCTACGTATGTGATTCCATCTTTGTCTTTTACAAAAAGATATCCAAACTACATTATAATATTTCTTTACATATCATCGCTGCTCTACTTACACTCGACTGTTATACTGTTAACAGTTGTTAACCAAGTTACATATAATGGACTACTCTTTGTTGGTTGGTATTCATGATTGTGTGCGGGCCGAGGAAGAGGCTCTACAGGGAGATAGTGCGTTAGCAACCGGACGTAGCGAAAACAGTGAAAGCGAAGAGTGCGATAGTGGTGAACGGTAAATCATAACCCAAAATTTAAGTAAATTGTAAATAAATGGTTATAAAACCTTTTTTAAGCTGGACGTATAATACACCACCCGATTCGCCAAGAGGTGCACAATATAAGGAAGTTGTTTATGAAGTTGATATATATGCGATTCCAAGTATTGAAGGTTATTTACACGAATGTATATGAAAATCGTTTAATCATTTAATATAACACCACAACATTTTATTTTAGAGAGACGAGAAATCTATTTTATAGCTATTATCGATGTTTTAACACAATATGGAGTCAAGAAACAGGTATATATATATTTATATTTACTTTTATAATGTTAAGGGATTCATTTTGTTTATTTTAGGCTGCGAAAGCGGCAAAAACAGTTAAATATGGTAGTAATGTTGATGGAATATCGACGTGTGATCCTGAACAATATGCCAAAAGATTCCTGGAATTTATGGATAAAGCTATAGAATAAGACATTTAACTGTATTTATTATTATATATTTAAAATAAACCCATGTATAATATAATATAATAGGTTGTTAAATTATTATAAAATGTGCTCTTCGAATACCTCATATCTTAGATAATGCTTAAGAATATGTGCTTCTCTTCCCATAAGACATGTTGCATTCTATTACTGATATTATTGAGTGTATGAATATAAAATATTCACCAAAATATAAACCAATTGCTTAGGCTATTTAATTTTAATCCAAATTCGTACGTGTATCCAGCAAAGAAAAATCAAATTACTAAAATTGAAAAAGAAATGTCATCTATTGTTATAGCGAATCATTGTGAAAGATACTTACTACAAAACGGTTAACCTGATGCCGGGGTCGAACTGTTGAGTTGCGTTCAACATTTTTCATATTTTCGAAGCGCTCGCGTATTCTGTAATTTGAAGTTTCAACTTATATTATTTTTTATCAATATTAAGTGTATCTTACGCCTTGGCACTTTCTATGGTTGAATCATCCGACACTTTTTCTGAGTAGATGTCCACAAATCCCTCCATTATTTCTCGCTTGATTTCGTTTGCCTGCCATTTTTCAAACTTGGCGCGCAATTGCTTTGCGCGAGCTGCATTGTGTGCCTTTATACATAGAAATTCAGAATTAACTTGAAAGCAATTTCACAGAGTTTTCAATAAAGTGAACATTTTTATATACATACAACAGACTTGTGCAGTTTGGTATCTATATATATCTATTCTTCTGAACCTTGCTCAGTAATAAGGCTCCGCGCTCGATTCTTATAATTTTACTCAATCGGTAAGGTTGTTCATATAAGGCGTACATCTACCTATCTATAGAGTCCATACATGTGGCGCTTATCTAATTCTATCTACCTATCTATGAAACATCGGATATTACGCCCTGCACCCATGGCCAGTATATATATTTTTGATCAGGGCGACGAGCTTAGTAGATTTAGCCCTGTAGTCTTTCTGCTCGCATGTTTGAACGCGTCGATCTTAGAAGGTATTAACGCTAGGGACTTGAAATTTTTTATTGGTCTGTGTATATCACATACATATCACAGCATATGGAGTTTTTCTACAAAAAAAAAAAAAAAAAAAAAAAAAAAAAAAAAAAAAAAAAAAAAAAAAA